TAGCCCAATGCTGAGCCTTACACACTCAGCAATAGATACATTAGATTTAAGGGTTGAAATTATACATGAGTCTGGGTATATAAACCCAGGCTCAGAATAATAAAGATCAATACGAAACTAAACACCATCTTAGTCAAGTGTATTCGTTCAGCAGATATCGATTGTATATTCAAGCTAATTATATATCATATTTATCTTACAGTTCCCTTTAATATTCTATTGACTTTCCCCACAGACAGTTGCTATTGCTGCCCTTTAAAGCTCTCGTTAAATACAAATAATAACTTCTTTTGTTAGCAAGAAAACGTCTCCGAAAGAGATAAATATGTAAGCTAGAGTGAGAGGGTGAGCCATTCAATTCTATTCCACAGAGAATGACTAGAGATATCAGAAGCCGCATTACCGTCCAGATTGCCTAATCCCATTGACCTGTGTAATTAGCGAATATGCTTTGTGTGCCGAGCCAAGGCCAGGCAGAGCGAAACTTGTAAATTATATTCGCACAACATTCCGTTTCATTAGCATAAACATTTCTAATTGCAGTCTGTGTAAGTGGAAGCCCTCTCAGCTTAACATAATGAAGGCCCAAGCGCGATGCCGCCGCAGTCACTGGCTTTTGCACTTTGCTCTAAGAAAATTCAATGAAAAGATTTTAATTAGATGTAATTTCATCTGGCATTCAATTTGCAGCCATTTAAGCGAGCTGAGCAGCTCTTAAGCCATCAGCTGCGGTCTTTCATATGTCATCTGTGCTCTCCCAGCACGTCTCGAACTTTGCGCCATTTGCCAGCCTTAAATGGAATGCCAACAAATAGTGCGGGCTTAAGTGTCTCGCCACCGGCACCGGCACCGGCACCGGCTCCAGCGCATTGAACTGACGTGGGTGGCAGTTGGAGCTGCTGTGGTGGCGCCAACTGTTTAAGTGGTTGGCGGATCAGACAAGGTCGTCCCTTGGCCTCTCCTGCTCGGCTCTGGGGTACTGCGAGAGCACACATGACACGAAAATGCGCTGCTGATTGTTTTGATTAATTAGTAAGCCAGGCTACGACACACAAAGCACATCAGACTGGCCCTGATGGAGTTAATTGTCTTCGATATTCACTTTGATTAACATCAACATTGCTGCTCCTCCACCTCCACCTCCTCCTCCTGCTGCTGCTCCTCCTCCACCTGACATTGTTGTTCTTCCATCGCTACTTGAAAGCTGTGTACATTATTTGTAATTATTGGCTCGTGGATAAACAATTAAATTTAATGGGCCACACGAATGGCAGACAAAGCAGCCATTATCGGGCCCACTTTGTTTAATGGCAAACCATTGCCATGCAAACCAGAAACTCCAATTAGATATTTCACAAAATCACCTTAACAATTTGCAACGTAACTCGATTCCCAGTTGACACGACTCACTGGCATTTTTGCCGTTGGTGTCCCTTTGTCCTTTTGTTTTGAATTACGCTCCTAATTAGGCATGTAAGCATTTCAAAATCCTTCAGAGCACGTACGTGCCTGGATCTACCTTTCGCAAAAGGGCCAAAAAGCTCGCACGTGGCTTTGTATCTCTTTTTTTTGTTTCTCTTTTTTTTTTTTGCATACTAATTTACAACAAATTTAACGTTTGACTGTCAAAAAAAGAAAGAAGACAAAGCATTCCTATATATACATATATCTCATTACGGTAAGGCCTCTCTGTTGCCAGGCAGAATTTCCTCTCGGGAGGCTGCCTGGTGACGCGACTCGGTTCCCATAATCGAGTCATTGTTGCCTTTTCGACAGCCATTCGAGCGTAAACATTTTAATATGCACAATAAATGAAGCAGGAATTATGCCTTCTGTATTGAAATGGGTAGCGAATGGGCGTGTGGGCGTGGCCCACGTCTCCATTTTGAATTGCTTTCAATTTCAATTTCATTTCCGCTCAAATAAGTTTTTGTGCACTTGTTTTTTTTTTTGTTTTTCTTCATCGAGTGCCAGGCTGTCACAATTAATTACAAATGTTTGCATATTTCCAACAGTTGACATCTCTCTTCGCCGAAGACCCTGAAGTGTGCAATTGGCATTCCATTGGAATAGTTGAGCTCAAAGAATTTCAAGCACTTTAGGGTGTGATTCAGGCGCTGATGCAGCAAAGATTTATTATGAAATCGCAGATGTGACTAGCGGGAGAAAGTGAGAGAGAGGACGGGAGAGAGAGAGAGAGAGAGAGGAGAGAGAAGTGGTGGGAGAGAGGAGAGAGAGGGAGAGGCAGGGAGAGATAGAGAGGCAGAGAGAACTTAAGTGGAACGACTTTACTGTGCGAGGCGATTCTGCATATTCGTACATTCAAATATTCATATATTCATAAATTTATACATTCATAAGCAGCAATTCAAGAAGGAATTAATTCACCAGTTCATGAATTCATTAAATTATTAATTCATAAATAAGTAGTCATAAATAGATAAATTCATGAATATATAAATTTAGAAATTAAATGGATCAATTCATAAATTAATATTAAAATCATAATGAATGAAGTAAATACAAATAGTATAATCAATGTAATTTCATAAATTCATGAATTCATAAATCTATAAACTCGCATATTGATAATTTCAAAAATTAATTTATAATGAAGTAAATTCAAATAGAATTAATATGAGTTCATAAATTTATAAATACATAAATTTATAAATACAAAAATTCATAAACTCGTATTGTTTTAAACTGATAAATTAATTCATGTTGAAGTAAATAAAAATATTATTTATATAAACTTATAAATACTTAAATTCATAAATACATAAATTAATATATTTATAAATTCGTATATAAATAAAATCATAAATTGATTGATAATGAAGTACAAAAATAATTAATTCTTAAATTCATAAATTCATAAATTTATAAATGCTTAAATTCATAAATACATAAATTCACGAATGCGTATTTTTATAAATTAATAAAATACAAATATAATTAATAAACAGTAATTAATACTTAAATTAATAAATAAATAAATTGATAAATTCGTAAATTCGTATTTTGATAAATTCATAAATTAATTTATAATGTAAATAGTACAAATATAAATAATATATTTGCATAAATTTATAAATACAAATATATGCATCAATTCAAAAATGAAAGTACAGATATAATTAATATATTTTCATGAATTTATAAATTCACAAATTGATCAATTCATAAACCAATTCATTAGTAAATACACAACTTCATTTATATTCTCTCATTCATACAAAAGTTCATAGTTTCATATGGTACATCATGCAGTTTAACGCAATGTAGAGTATGATACATTACTGCATTCTAATATACGTACATCAAGTAACTCAGATCCAATTTCATGGCTCGTACATACACAATCAATCTCTGTTCTGTCACCAATTTCAGCTGGCAAGAAGCTTAAACAGCTTTTAACTTGGCGAAGTAAAAGTCAAATGGATTCGCTTTCGCAGGCCAATGCCTTCACACCCACTAAAAGTGATTCACACCTGCGACACAGCTGTCTGGGCCTAAGCCCCTTCGCATCGAATGGGTTCTCAAGTTCTCTGAAATCGGAAACTAACCAACTGTTGGATGGCTCGTTTAATGATCTTGAAGTACTCGAAGCGGCACGTGTTTGACCGCTGGCCATCAATCAGGCAGGACTGGACGGGACAAGACAGGACAGAACCGGACAGGTAAGAACAGTCCGACAGATAACGAAATGTATGGCGAAAGGTTTCGACTCTAAAGCTGGCAATAATCAATCAGAGACGTGGCCACCCTCCCGCACTCCTAACTCCTTTCTGTGGCTCGACATAGGCCGCAGAATTCAATCAATTCATGCGCCTGCCCAGCCCTTCGCAAGCAATTTTGAGGCTCATATCAAACGCATGACTAAATTGAATTTCAAATTTGGGCCCGGGCCAAAAGCTGATAAATTGAAAAGCATTGAAAATGATACGCAATCTAAACAGTAAATAGCTAAAAATCTTGTCCGGATTTGCATATGAAAGCCACAGAAAGTCAGCCAAATGAATTGTAACCAAATTTCAATAATAGACATAGACAACAAGCTCTCGCTCCAAACTAGCACAAAGCGAGGCGAATTCATTGAATTTTCCGGGGCCAACTATCATGAGGACGCAGTGAGCGGAGTGTCTGCTCGACTAACAGATACTCTCGCTATTCTTAGTCAATTGAATTTCAGTATTCGAAAATCAATAAAGCGCAATTAGCGCTACTTCAAAGATTAAAGAGCAAGTGGCAAATGGATAAATGCGAGCGCTTCTAATTTAATTAGGCCAACAGTCGTAGCAGAAGAAGAAGGAGAAGAAAAAAAGAGGCAGAAGAAGCAAAAGCAAAAGCAACAGCAGCAAAGGAATTAAAACATTTGCAACTTTAAGCCACATAAATTGTAAAATTGCGAATAAAAAATGAGCAAGAATATCGCAATCGGGCGTGGCCGACTGCAGAATACACATTCATTGCCAAAAAATTAAAATTTGGATTTTTCCCCGATTGGAGGTTATTAAAAATAGAAGTTAATGCGACTTTATATACCAATTTTAAAATCTTTAATAAAATTATCTAAACAAAACTTGAGCAGCTAAGATTGGCCACGCCCCTGACAGGCGTAAGCAGTCGCACAATTTATGTACAGCACTTGGGAGTATGGATTATCGTAACTATAAGGATGTGCAGCCTACGCTCGGGAACTGTGAAAATGACAGGGTGTTTTTCAATATGCCAAGCAGCTAATGAGGCTAGTAAATGATTTTTGGTTCATCAATGGAAGAGGTTAACAGTACGCCAAAAATTGTTGATTTGGCACGCCCCCAACGGGCGTATACATACATATTCTACAGTAGCTCCTCTTTATCCCTTTAAACAACAGGAAACATCATCAAACGGAAGGCTGGACTGGCCAATGAACAGATGGGCATCACTCCGGCGAGGGCAGAAAAACCGATATACCCACTTCACTTCGTGCTCGAGCATCAAAATGAAAGGCAACAAGCGAGAAATCTCGAGTCCGGCCACGAAACGAGCCAAGCATTAGCTTAAATTTCGATGCCAACGGGCGGCGCTGGCAGCGCAATGAACAGGCAAAAGATAAAGATAAGCCCAGTTTATGAATGAATTTTTTATGCGGCGCGTCGTCCGTTTTGGGTGTGGCCCGAATTCTGGCCGGCATTTGAATTGGGCGTCAAGGGCGCTCCAGCTCGAGGCAGACACCCAAAGGAGTAGTTAGCATTAGATAAACGACGCTTTGGGAGACACGGCCCAGACTATTGTGTGTCGCAGGGGCCGAGCCGAGTCGGCCACGCCCCGCAAAGTCAGCCCCACTCAACTCAGCTCAGCTCCAGTTGCAGCCAAACTTTGGCGACTGTCGGCAGCCATAAATCAAAGAGCCTGGAATCAGGGCGACATTGCTCAATTGGAGTGAAGTGCTAAGAGCAAATCATGTTGATCTAATCCCTGGGAGCAAATGCTTTAATCTATGCAAATAGGTTGCGCCTCTCTCGGCACTTCTCAGTTCAATTAGAGTGTGTGTGCATTTTCTTTTCAATTTGCCTGAATCAACTCGAGCTGAATTCATTTACTCATGACGCTGTCCAGCTGTCCAGCTGTCCAATGAAATAAACTAACAGCATTTGCGTGACATTCATACAAATGTAGGTGAAGTTGGTCTCAGCTTGGCCAGAATTTATTTGCCACTCTTTGGTAATTGCTTTATGGACACACTAAATGGATTTACAAGTCTATTAGATAACACTTGAAACTTGTTTATGCTTAAGTCGTAATTTGTAAATTGAAGCTCTTGCAAATATTTAGCAATACATTTGAGAGTTGGAAAACTTTTCCCTGGCGCTGGCTAAACAATATCAAAAGTGGAAATTCAACAGAAGTCGACCTCTCCTGTTTTCTGGCTGGCATGCCAGCTGTTGTCAAGGTCGCCACATAAAAGGGTCAGCATTGTGGTTTATTTAGGCCCGTCATGCGGCTTCGTGGCAAATAACAAATAAAATTCATTTACGCACTAAATGAAATTACTTGCCTTTTAACGACCGACCATAAAACGCTTTTCACGGCATCAAATATAAGTTTTCATTAAATTGTGCGCTGCGCCTTGGCCATCGAGATTGGGCTTAGCTGAAGAGGGCTACATTTGACCTTAGAGCTCTACAAATTTGCAAAGCCCACACAAATTGCTGGCTAATATAACGCGGCAAATGCGAAATTATTAGAGATATTGCGCTGCCAATGAGCCAGTCAGGCAGTCAGGCAGTCAGCCAACATCAGCAATAATCAAACCTCAACCTCAGGCTAGCCCCAGCCCACAGCAGTTGTCCGCAATAAACGTGGCCCATTTTGCATGGTTTGCAATTAAAACGAGCCGCACAAATGGAAAAACAATGTACTCCCGGACTGGAAGCATTTAACGCCCCCAATGTATGCGAGTGGAGGCGAGCAGCGATCCATTGTGGCCTCTGCCGTTTTTAAAGCCCGGCCGAGGGCAGCCAACTGTGATATTATTCTAGGCGCTGTACTAACTAGTGTGCATACGCATTTAGTTAAATACTAGCGGAAATACCAGAGGCCAAGCTAAACAGATTACTAAAACAAAA